GAAGAATAATGGAATGAATCAACATCCTCAAATCTGATTTCCCCTCAAGAAGAAGCGGAATGAATCCTTCTCTTTCAATATTTGATCTTTCATGAATAATAGTGGAACAAGTATGCCTCGATTCAATCTTCCCTAAAGAACAATGGAATGAATCAACGTCCTCAGATATGATTTTCCCTCAAGAACAAGCGGAGAAAATCCATTTCTTTTAATATTTGATCTTCCCTGAGTAACATGGAACAAGTCTGCCTCGATTTAATCTTCCGTAAAGAGCAGTGGAATAAATCAACGTCCCCAGATCTGATTTTCCCTTGAGAAGAAGCGGAACAAATCCATCTCTTTCAAGATTTGATCTTCCATGAGTAACAGTTGAACAAGTTTGCCTCGTTTAAATATTCCCTAAGAATAGTGGAATGAATCAATGTTTCTAGATCTAATTTTCCCTCAAAAAGCAGCGGAACAGATCCATATCTTTCAAGATTTGATCTTCCCTGAGTAGTAGTGGAACACGTATGTCTCGATTCAATCTTTCCTGAAGAACAGTGGAATAAATCAAAACAATAGAGAAGATCCCTTATCAGATTTCAAAACATAGAGTCGACCTGACGAAAAGTCATTGTCTCTTCGTCTTTACCCTTTTCTTGTTGACACAAGACTAGACAAAGAATGGTAGTCGTTGACACTCGATTTCGTCCCGACAATATTAATATTACTATTTGATTTATCATTATTATTATTAATATTATTATTAATATTAATATATATTTTTATTTATATATTTTTATTTCTGCAGGCTTATACAAGCCCCAAGCTCGAAATACAAGTATCCAGCCCACCAGCCGGTTCAAACCCATCTACAGCTACCCATTTTGGGTCTTGCCCAACCCACCAGGTCTAGGCCAATAATGAAGGCCACGAGACCCAAACCCATTAGGGTTTCTGAACCCCCTCTCCAGCACCGCTCCTTCGAAGCCGTTGGATCTAACTTTAGATCCAAAGATCCAGATCGACCAATAGTTGGGTTTTGAGAAACCTATCTCAGCCGTACCATCTCAGCCGTATGATCTGGAACCATCCAGCGGTTCAGATCACACCAAGGGTTTTCTGCAACCGCCCATCTCCACCAGTCATCTGCCACCATCGCGACCACCAACCAAGTCCCCTTCCATTGTCAGATATCCCAAATCAACACACAACTTCACAATGATTTCCTTTTGTAATAATTTGTTTTATTTTTAGTAAAAAGAAAAAGCTGTAATAGGGGCTATAAAACCCCAAACACTAAGTTATAAAAGAGGTCCTGACAAAAAGAAAAGATGAAACATTTGAAAGGTATCTCATTTTTATTTTATTTTCAGTTTCGGAAAGAGATAAAAAGAACAAAAAAAACCCTTCCATGTAAGAAAAACAGAGGGAGGAGGGTAGATTTATACCTTAGAGTGGGAGAGTTAAACCGGAAGGGGCCCGATTCATTTTGGATGACGCCGGAGTGTGCGAGGAAGCGAAAAGTCGAGGCTTTTTCGATTGTTTAGGGCCCTTTAGGTAGTTTAAACCCTATATATATGCTTTGGAGTGTGAGACGAGTGTTTTAGGGGGTTTTGGGTAAGTTTCGAAATTCCGACCACCGTGTGCTGTGGCTGGGGGCAGAGTAGGGTGGTCGGCAATAGGCCGATCGAAGAAAGGAAGAGAGAGATTTTAAGATTTGTTTTAAAAAAATCAGTTAAAATGAAAAAAATGGTTTAAGTTGTATTTATAGAGGGAATTTTGGGAGAAATCATGCTTATGTCCCTTGACTTTAAGCGTGTTTTTTGCAAAATAGTCATCTGTAGAGACCGATTTTATAATTTACCCATTTTTCGTATATGCGTTGTAATTTTTGGTTTAATTGTTGTTTAGTCCTTCTAACTTTAGCGTGTTTTGCATGTTAGTCACATGTAGGGAGTGTTTTTGTAATTTACATTCTTTTATGTATGTTATACATTTTTAGGATTATTTGCTTTTTAATCTCTGTATGTATAGCGTGTTTTTACATTTTGGTCATTTGTAGTGATGATTTATTTTTTTAAATACTTCTCGTCTGATTTATTAATTTACCTTTTTTTATTCGAATGTATGTTTTAGGCTAAGAAAAAGGAATATTTAGGAAATAGCCCCTGTAGTTTCTGTATGTTTATATTTCGAACCATAATCTATTTTTTTTATTTTTTTTAAATTTGGCCATGCAATTTTAGTTTATTTTAATCCAGTCCCATTTTTTATTTATTTTTATTCTTTGTAAGTTTAGCACTCAATATTAAAAATGCTCATTTTAGTCACTTTTATACTTTATTTTATTTTAATTTTGACATGATGGTTTGATTGTTTATATTTTAGTCATATTTTCACTTTATTTTATTTTAATTTTTCCATGTTGCTTTCATGTTAGTTCATTTTAGTACTTAATTAATTTTGCATGATACCCTCATAAGCATCTCTTGACTCGAATCGAAATAAATTGACTAAGGGTAATATTCATTCATTTTAATATTATCATAAAGTGACTGTCTTAACGTATACGAAAGTTACTTTCGATAATTTTAAAATGAAAGTTTATCCCATTTAGTGACACAAATTAAATCGAATCCATTTTAAAATTTGGGGATTGAGAAAAAGATCACATTCTTTTAATTAAATTCACCGAGAAAAGATTGTTAGATCAAATCTAAGGTCTCGTCTCGAGATATTTATATAATTGAACTTTGTTATTCTCATTAAATATTGGTAAAATGAATAATTAATTGTATTTGCTTGGGGTATGTTTTTTTTTTTTATTTTTTTTATTTTTGCATGTGTTTTTCAATGGCTTTTCAAAATAATAACACTCGAATCAATATTAATAATAGTAATATCTTTTCATTTCGGTTGGAGTAATAAATGACTGCTTTAAGGCAAGAGAGATCATTCATTCTCTATTGGAAATAATTCGATATTACCGTTTTCTCTCGAATAAATATTGATTTTTAAGACGGAATAGTGATATATCTTCATTTCAATTGGAGTAATAAATGACTGCTTTAAGGCATGAGAGATCATTTATTCTCGATTAGAAATCATTAGATATTATTGATTTACTCGAACCAATATTGAATTTTAAGACAAAATAGTTATATCTCTTCATTTCAATTAGGGTAATGAATGATTTTTTAAGGCGTGAAAGGTCATTTATTTTCGATTGGAAATAATTAGATATTATCGTTTTCTCTCTTAAAATTATTTTGGGTTTTGTTATCTTGAATTATTAATGAACTTTAGAATGTAATTTTAATATTTCTTTATTTCGATTGGAGTAAGAATCAATAGCTTTAAGTTATGAGAGATCGATTCTTCTCTGTGGGAAATAATTAAATATTATCATGTTTCATCCAAAAATTCAAAGAATATTTTTTTGTAGGGGATCTTAAATTAAATTAGACTCGAACTCTTAAATTTCATTGAAAATACAATTTATTAATCGATTAGGTACAGATTTAGGGCGTTGTAGGGGTGCTAATATTTTCCACGCTTAACCGACTCCCGAACTCGAATTTTGGTAGCGCAGATCGTAAGCTTATTGTTTAAATTAAATTATTCCAACCACGTTTACGTTGTCATCCGACGGTTTCTACAAATTATGTCACTGATTTGAAGCTCCTCTAATCCTTCTTTTATTTCTCAGTTTGGATCGCTTAGAAACACTCTTAAACGATAGAGCCATTTATTGGATGGGAGGGCTTGTGCCCCCAAATTTTTAATACAATAACATTTTTGTCTTTATTAATTTTCGTAATGTCAAAACTTTGAATGAAAATTTTCCATAAACACCTCAAAATTAATAAAACATATATTTTATATATTTATTTTTCATCAAGCCTTATATTAAAATTGAATCGCGAATATATTATATTGTATTTATATCAAAATTGGGTTTGAATTGATAAAAAAAAAAAAATCATGTATCACACCCGGATGTCATGAGGCTAACACAAGGCTGTACAGTACATCCCGTTTGTTGGCAGCATGTGATGTAGGGCAGCCTCAGTCTCAATCACGTGCATTTGAAGTAATTTGGAATTCAAATAGATTTTTTTTAAAAAAGAATTGGAAATCCAGGCATTGTGTATGTCGCTTTATATAATTACATTTATGCTCATTTGCTCTTTTTTTTTGTTGCTCTCTGTGCCATCACCTTCATAGATGGCGACCATATTCCAACTTTGCTAATAAAATCCAAGTTGACTGTTTCAATATTTTACTGACTAGTTCTAGTCTACGGATAAAGTTGTGATAAAAATCAATTACATAAGAATCTAACTACATAAATCATAATAACTTATTTTAATTTTGTTTAATTACATTAAATGTTATTTTATATAATTTCAATTATAAAATTATAACACAATTCATCAATATTTTATCTGATCGTAATATCATCCACGTGATAAGCCCCAAAATTTCCCTACTTTATATCGCTTAAAAAAACAAAAATTATATATCCAAAAAAGAATTAGCCTAACACTAAAGCAAAACCCGAAAGATAAGGAAGTGGGATTAGGTATAAGAGATATGGAAGTGACCACCTTTATATTTACATGTAGAGAATTGAACGCATGAAAAGAATTATACATGTTCGTATTAAAATCAATTATTAATCTAAAAATATTTTTGAGAGTGAGCATATATATATATATATATATATATATATATATATATAAAATGTATTAAATTTTTTTAAAATAAACAAAATCAATAATTTATGATAGATATAATCAATAAAATAAATAATTAAAAGAAAAAAAATTAAATTCTAGGGTGGGCATTTACCCACAGTATATTACACTTATATCTGCCACTTATCCAAATATTGAATGGATGATGAGTGCTCTAAACCCATGTAGCATAAATAAATTTAGAAAATTTTCTAACACATCCTACTTCATTATTATATATATAATGATTTACATTCGAATAACACAAGTGAAGTAAGAAAAATCTAACATACCCTTGTTGAACATTAAAATGGATGGTTAAAAAACGTGGTTTTTAGGTGATAAAAACATAATCAAAGGTGAAAGTTGACCTGGGTCAACTTTGGGCATAACAATTTCTGGGTGTGGTTGACATAAGATTGTTAAGTTTCTTGTTTGACAATTGAAAACGAATTGGAATAAATTCCAACGAATTCCCACAAATCTTGTGCGCAGGCATCCCTATCTCGGTTGCCAACTTCTCAGCTTCTTCATCTCTCTCGATGATTCGATCAAAGCAAATGTACCTTCCGGATGCTGTTTTGTTCATTGCCTCGTACACACATACATGAGCCTCAGCCAATCTTATTACATCAACACTGGCTAGCAATCCATTTCCATACATTTCTTGTGCACCTGAGTTTTGAATTTACTCATCTAATTAGCTTTTTCAATATAAAAATTGAGTGAAAATGAAGAAATAAACACCTTTGAGATAAGCTATTGTTACTGTGGGATTTCTGTGGGAGAATTCAGGGCCTGTAATGAGTCCTGGACAGATTGTTGTCAACTTTAAGCTCATTTCTTCAGCTATTTTCCATGCAACTTTCTCGGCTTTCAGCTTCCCCAATGCGAACCAGAGCTGCCACATTTCGAGAGGAAACTACGTTACATTCATTCGAGTGCGGATGTCGGAAAACGGTAGGTAAAACATAGACACCCATCCCATGTGTTTATCCCAATGTATCGATGTTTTCTAGTTCTAATTTGCATGTGATGTATACCTTTTTGTCCATGCAAAGTGATTCACTGCTCCAGCAATCGTGATTAACCAAAGTGGGAAGTTGAGGTTGGTGGCTGTCTCTCCATATGCAGGACAAAAGTGAAGAAGTGAGCACACAATTCTTTACAGAAGCTGTTCTTGCACATGCCTTCATCACATTTTCACTGGCCTTTACTTCTATTTCAGCCATGTATTTCTAACAAAAACACCAGAACAAAATTTACATATCTATGTATTTCTAATTTCAGTCATACAAGTGTGCTCAATATTTTCTAAAGTTTTTCATATGTTTGGAGAATCATACACGTATCTCTGTCTGAACATAGAAGAAATGAAAAGTGGAAGCAGCGTATGCATAAAAGATCATGCAAGGACAGGATGGGGTGAAACATGAAGTTAATGATTTTAGCATGGACTCAAACCACATAACTGGAACAGCACTTATGGTGCCCTGGACCTGGTAGACCAACCCAATATAAAGTGATTGCACACTTAGTTTTAGAAAGACTTCTCGGTTGACTTAATCATCTTATTCCTTTCATCTTGAAAACAAGAATCTGATTGTCTCACAAGAAAAAAAAAATAGAATCTACCTACGAAAACATCTAACTATGAAATATACCGATGGTTCTTGCCAAGGTTGTTTGATTTTGGTGGAACGTGGGAATGTCCGATCGGGTACTGTCCATAATGAGTATGTGCTTAATCCGTGCAACGTTTATCACAGATTTCGTATCTTTTTACTGGTCTGCTAAACATATATTCAACACCTCTGTAGCATTATTACAGTCACTTGTTGTGCCTCAATACCGAAGGAAAACACATTCAAGAAATTGTGGGGGGGGGGGGGAAGATGAACGAACTCACAGAATAACCAGAGATGCCAGCAGGGTCAGCGAATGCAGAGGTGTGAAACACTCCACGACAGCCATCAAAGGCCTCGGTGAGCCCCTGGATTTCAGTTGGCTTAGCCATTACCACAGATATTTTGTTGCTACAAGCCACCATCATCTCCCCTGAAACCTGCATCTCCCTCAGCCTCTCTACATCATCTGCAGTATTTTTTTTTGGATCAAACCCAAAGAACCCAAATTAATATCCTTTCTGGAACCTTAAATCAAACAAGGGTTTTTTTGGGGGGTTTGAACAACAAAATCGTTACCTTGGTTATGGACGAGGATTCGAACAGAGTATCCATGGATCAAGAGACGGTTAACCAAGGCAACCCCGAGGAAAGAAACACCACTGGTGACACAAACAAGCTTGTCTTGAAGATCAACGTTGGCGGTGTCGGGACTCATTAGGCCTTTTAAATCTTCATTTTCTTTGCTTCTTTCCCTGGCGGCCAAAGCAACCAAAGTCTGCCTGAAGTCTTCCAACTCCCTTCTTTCACTTTCTTCATCTTGGGTCTTAGCAATCCCCATTATCAGTTAGTTCCAAGCTCTGTTGAGATGGGAAGTTTAAGCTGTTGTTACTATTATTGTCTGAAAAAAGGAGGATCCAATGAAATAATCATGCAAAAGGCATCGCTTGCATGTTCGAAAGCTTATTTAAAAAATTAAAGTGGCGTGGGCTGCGGAAGAACAGCTTAATGGACATAACAGAGAGACCTGGCTTGTTTTGCTTGTCTTATTTGTGTGGCTATAATTTTTATATTTAAATGCAGACCTAATTATGGTCCTAGTATTTATACTTTTTGGGCTTTTGAAATTTAGTCCTTTGTGATAAAACTATCAATTAATTTCTGCTAAATCTGAATGTGTTACTGATTGATCATTAATTTTTAAAAAAAGAACTTTATAAATATAAAAAAGCAACATATTAAAATTTAACGAAAGTTCGTTAATAATTTTAAATCAGATAAGTAGAGTGATTAAATTCCTATAACTAGAAGTGAAGAGATTAAATTTTAAAAATTCTAAAAAGTATTAAGATTGGGTACATAATAAAACCTTAAAACCAAAATATTGTATAGTTATAATATATAAACGACCGCCCTGAATCACATGCAAATGTATTAAAGGATGTATATGTTTTGCATTTAAAGCCTGCCAAATTCATTATGTAACAAACCCCTATGGTACTTATGTCTTTAGAAGGATGCCCTTTAGACTTTGTGATGCTCCAGCTATTTTCTAAAGGTGCATGTTGGCTATCTTCTTTGACACGGTAGAAGAGTTTTTATAAATCTTCATGGATGACTTCTCCGTCTCTGGAGATGACTTTGACTCATTCCTTAACAATCTAGAAAAGGTGCTAAAGAGGTGTGGAGAGGCTGATTTGGTAATGAATTTGGAAAAGTGTCACTTCATGATGACCGAAGGGATTGTTTTAGGCCACAAAATCTCACAAAAATGCATAGAAGTGGAAAAAGCGAAGATTGAAGTGATTGAGAAGCTACCTTCATCAACCACAGTGAAGTGAAGGGCTTTTATAGAAGATTCATAAAGGATTTCTCCAGAATTTCCAAGCCATGCATTTTTCTACAACAAAATCATCCCTTCATTTTTTTATGAATTTTGCTACAGCGTATTCAAAGAGCTGATGGAGAGACTTATCTTAGCACCCATTAGTTGTTCTCTCTGATTGGACCTTACCATTCGAGTTGATGTGAGAAGCGAGTGACTATACTGTGGGGGTAGTGCTTGGGCAGCGTCAAGGTAAGATTTTTCATGTTATTTATTATGCTAGTCTTACCTTAAATGAATCACAAATCAATTATACAACCATAGATAAAGAATTACTTGATGTGATATTTACATTTGATAAATTTAAGGGTGAATAGAAAGATAACTGAAAACTAAGTTGCTGACCATCTTTCTAGGCTAAAGAAAAAGGGTGAATGAGATGAAAACTTAGAAATCAAGGAGGAATTTCCCGATGAGAAAATTTTATTTGCTGCGGCAATTCCATGGTATGCCCATATTGTTAGCTTTCTTATTAGTGGTGTTTTGCCTATAGATTTAAATAACCAGGGAAGAAAGAAATTTAGGCATGATGTGCAATTTTATTAATGGGATGAGCCTTATTTGTTCAAGCAATGTGCTGATCAAATGATTCGAAAGTGTGCCCCCGAAGAAGAACAAAAGGAGATCCTATTCCATTGCCATACAACTCCTTGTGGAGGCCACTTTGGAGGGGTGAGGACTACTGAAAAGGTCCTAAAATCTATCTTATATTGGCCTACACTTTTTAAAGATGCGCATGAAATCTACAAAACTTGTGATAGATGCCAAAGGATAAGGAACATCTGCATAAGACATGAAATGCCATTACAAAATATTCTAGAGGTGGAGCTCTTTGACGTCTGGGGGATAGACTTCATGGGACTCTTCCCTTCATCATTTGGAAATCTTTGCATCCTATTGGAAGTGGACTATGTCTCAAAAAGGGTCAAAGTTGTGGCAACACCGAAGAATGACTCCAAGACAGTCTTAAGGTTACTTCAAAAGAGCATTTTCACAAGATTTGGAGCCTCACAAACCATCATAAGTGATGAGGAAACCCATTTTAACAATAAGATGATTATTAAGGCATTGTAAAGGTATGGGGTGAGTCACAAGATTGCTACAGCATACCACCGCTAGACCAACGACCAGGCTGAGATCTCTAATCACGAGATTAAACAAATATCGAAGAAAGTGGTCAACCCTAAATAGAAAGATTGGTCTCCAAGGCTCGATGAAGATTTATGGGTATATCGAAAAGCTTTCAAGACGTCTCACAGAATGTCCCCGTTTAAACTGGTTTATGGCAAGGCATGTCAACTTCTAGTGGAATTAGAGCACAAGGCTTACCGAGCCATAAAAAAGCTCAATATAGATACCCATCTGGCCGGAGAACGAAGGCTATAGGCTGAAGGCTATAAGCCATTGATATCAATAACCTTGGATGAAACAATCTTCGAGGTCAATGGCCAGTGGCTGAAGGCCTACTCTGGTGCCCCATCGTGTGTGATAAATCCTCTTTAATTCTTCATGATACGTATGTAGACGTTCATTTTGTCTGAGGATTTCAACTATATTAATTACCATATTACTATTAGATAAATTTATCAACTATTATTATTTAATTAAATAAGTTAGCTATTAGGGTACATTTATATGTTATAAATATAGAGTATATAAATAATTAAATAAACGAATATATATATAACATTAATTTAAAATATACTAAATTTTATTTTTATTTTTCTGTTACAGGCCCAAAGTCACTAGCAACACAAACGGCAAGCCCAGATGATATACAACCCATGCAGGAAAACCCTAAGCCCATTAGGGTTTTTTACTGCAAGTCCCTAACGCCACACAATGTAACCCGTTAGATTTGGGTTTCATCCATCGACTAAGGATATATGACACAAAGTTTAGGGTTTTTAAAACTTAAGGATCCATGCACAATCGATTTTTGATCGTTGGATCTGGTTCCAAGATCTAACGGCCCACAACACTCTTAAAGTCCCAAGCTTGTGCGTGTGGTGCACCGGAGACTCCCCAGCTTCCCAAACGGCCAGATCTCGCATGTAGAGAACATGCTCGTCGCTCCATCTGCCACCTGAGCCTCCACACGCCAACTATCTGACCCATGCAACCAACCTTTTCTGTATCCAAGCACTGCCGTAGCCCCGTTATCTCCCTGCCATATTCCCCGACAGTAGCAGATGGTAGGAGCGATGGGCACTTACAAACCTCTAAAAGGACAAACAACTTTATCTCAGTTGTGAGATCATCCACGCAATAAGCCGATCAGTGGTTCTTCTTCCTTGCATGCAAAAAAAAAAAAAATAGGGGCAATATATAACAAGAAAAGGAAACAGATCAAGGGGCATAAAAAATACCTCATTTTCTCTCGAGTGAGCGAAAACCCAAAGTAGAAAAAAGATCCATCAACAACAGAAAAAAGAAAAAGAGAAAACCAAAAAAACATCTCCGTTTTATGAGCGAATCACCGACCAACCAAAAAAAACCCAAAAGGGGAAAAAAACTCACATTCCCGATCCAAAAGGCTTTGTTGCCGTCACTAGGAACCAAAACCCCATCGAGTCAAAGGTAAACCCTTCACCCCTTGGTCTTTTCCTATCGTTTTTGGGGCCACGGAGGTCATTTTTGTAGGTATCTAAGCATTAGGGGTTATCGGGTTTTGAAGAAAAAGATATCGTTAGGGGGTTCAGTTCAGAGAGATTTAGAGGGTTTTGATTTTTAGGTCTCAATTCGGAGTATCTCAGCTCCTCGTCGGAGCTAGAGAATGACTTAGGGGGTGTCATGCACGGTTTTCTTTCGATTGGTTTCGAAAAGAAAAACTTTGGGTTTGTGTTTTTCAGAAGAGGCTCAGAGAGGGCTTATTTGACCCCTCATTGGGGTCGCTTGGTGGTGGCAGCCATGGCGGCTGCCTTGGTTGGAGGAGAACAAAAAGGAATAAAAAAGGGGGAGTGAAGAGGAGAGAACGATGTTGAGGGTTTATTTTACGCCAAATGTTATTTTTTGTTCTTAGGTAAAATGTTAGCCTAAGTAAGGCTTTAAGACAGTTGAATGAAACGACATTGTTTTTGATCTTAAGGCAGTCCAAGGCCGGTTGAGTGGGGGTTAATTGCATGAGAACCCGTCTAGTTTCGACCCATTGCGTTTTAGTCATCGAATAAAGCCTTTTCGAAGTTTTTAATTTTGACCTTATATTTCATGTGCATTACTCTTTCGTCATATGTTACATTGTTCTTAATTTTAAGTTGTTTAACATTTGGAATGTAATCTTGCTTGATTTACATTTTAATTCTACATGCGATTATGGGTTTAGTATAATTTTAGTACCTGAAATATGAGTATTTAGGTTATATGACTTGATCTTTCCCTTATTTATGGTTTTAGCTTTAGATTTATCTGCCCTCTCATTTTGGTCATCTTGATGTTTCCTCTTTATTTATTTCATTGGTGCGCATATATATTCATTTATTGGTATATTTTATTTCTTCCATGATATGTATGATATACTCATGAGCGTAACTCGACCCAACCAAAATAATTGGATTAAGGTAACACCTCGTCATTTTAAGTTTGTTGAGGAGTGATTGTCTCAGCGTATGAGAATATTACTTTTGAAAATTTTAAAATGAAGGTGTATCCGCCAAGTAAAACCCTAAAAAACTTGACCTCACCTAAAATTTGGGAATGAGATAAAAAGAAATATTCATCTATTTAAATTCTTTGAGAAAAGATTGTTAGAACTTAAAAAAGGTCCAATCTTGACGTCTTTAAATAATCGAATATTCTTCTTATTTCTTAAAGGCTTGGAATTTTTTATTTAATTTGTTTTATTTCATGCATTTGAACGTTACAATGGAACTGTAATATTTATTTATTTCGATTGTAGTAGGAATTGATTGCCTCAAGGTATTAGAAGTCGTTTCTTCTCGATAGGAAATAATAAATATTATTATGTTTCATTTTAAAGTTCAAAAAACTTTATTTTAAGGTATCTTAAACTAAATTAAATTCAAACTTGTAAATTTCATTTGCAAATACAATTAATTAATCGACTAGGTACCAATTTAGGGCGCTATAGGGGTGTTAATCCTCCCCCATGCGTAACGACTCCCGAACTGAATTTACTGGTATG